GGGCCTATAAGTTGATCGTACAACATTCCGCACCACAGATTAATGCTAAATCTGCTTTGAAAATTACTTTCTATGGTAGCATGAGGGTTAATGTCCGACCATTTATGCAAATTATGGATGTTATTTATGCCATCTCGAGTAAATTGTGACTCATCCGTAAATAAAATGTAGCGGTATAAGTTCCGATTATTATTTAACCATTGACAAAATGCCAAACGCCTAGGGAAGTCTTCTGGCTTCAGATGTTGAACACGCTGTAGATGATACGGATGCAGCAGATTTCTTTTTAATGTTCTCCATACCCTGGTATTGGGAATCCCTAAACGTATGGATATCCGTCGCGTACTAATGCAGGCATTGCGCTCGACAATGTCAAGGATGTTCTCTTCCTCTGCAACATTCTGCTGTGTTGCTCGTTCATACTGCATATGAACGCTCGGAAGTAAACCAGTTTCTCGGAGAGCTTGGAAGGTACTACTAAAAGTCTTCGGCGATGGAACACGCCGATTTGGAAAACGTCGTCGATATTCAATTGAAGCTGCAGTAGCGTTTCCATCACAATTTCCCAATACAAAAACCATATCAGCATACTCAACAGTCGTAAACTTACGGCATTGTACGCAAATAAAACTCAAATAATTTTAGATTAAACGGCAAGCTTGTCAAATTTAACAGTAAGGTAAATAAGTACTTTATTTTACTAATGCAGTCATAGCACACTTACCCTTTGAGCCCTGCGCTGGGCCGTAACGCCATAATTTTTAAATATTATTTTCAAATTCATATAACTCAATAAGTGAAGTGAATCGGACATATGTTCATATGAACTTTTTTATTACAAATCACCTAAACAACATGCTCCATTAGTGCCGGGAGAACTTTATGAAACACCCTGTATATATACAAACAAACAGTAAAAAACCCAAAACGATATACATAGAAATGAAAATTGGCGATGTTTCGTTTGACGCAAAATTGCGACAAGACGCTTTTCAAACATAACCTTTACATTACATTAAACACAAACAAAAAGAAGCACAATTGATCAAATAAACTCAAACAATAAACTACAAACAACAAAAGAACAACGATAAATTAATTTTTCCCTAACCTTAAAAAAGAGAAAAAAAAGATAAAACAAAAACTTAATATTATATGAAATGCAGACCCATCATCGAACGAAGCAGAAAAAACAGAGAAACAACAGTTCACTGTTACATTGAATAGTTCACTGAAACAGCCACAGAGCTTGAAACTGCGACAGGCGTCAGGCACGAAAGCCAGAGAGAGCACAGAGGTATCGTTTGTACTTGATTTTAAATTGTTTCGACGCGCATTTTTTAAACTCATTTGGTAGCGAATTGTATTTCAAGACTATCTGATATGAGAAGCATCGTTTAAAAAACTCTATCCGGTGTGCAGGTATTTCAAGCAAGCCTCTATGTCTGAGATTGAGATTATGCACATCTGTACGATAAGTTAATTTTTCGTACAGATGTGGTGGTGACTTATTGGTGATAATTTTGTGATACATACATAAACAATGCAATAAACGTCGATTCTCCATGTTTAACCACTTCACTTCTTTTAATTTGTACGATATAGGATGACGGCTACGAATACCATATATCAATCTCAGACACGATTTTTGCATTTTCTGTATTCTACCCACATCCACCGCTGACAAAAAAGCGCCATAAACAGTGTCGCAATAGTTAAATCTAGACAGCACTAGTAGGTCGCATAGTAGTTTTTTTGTATTTTGATTTAGAGAAAACCTGTTATTAAAAATCACCTTCAGTACCGCGAAGGCCCTCTGTATGGTGAGATTGATATGCTTTGTAAACAACAGCTGACCGTCCATTATTACACCCAGACTTTTCACCGTATTTTGTACTTCAATATGTTGTCCATCTATAACTAAGGTTATTGGGCCTAAAAGTGAGCGCGCATGATCCTTGCCAAAGACAGTAGCTGTAGTTTTAGCGCTATTGATGTGTAGGGAGTGATCTCTCGAGAATTGTAAAATATTTGATATATCGTTGTTAATAATACCCATGGCGCGTTGAAGATCTGAAGGTAGAAACGAGTAATAAATCTGGGTGTCATCAGCGTACGAGTGAAAATTACAATGTTTTAAGCGTTCTGACATTGTAGATGTATATGTATTGTATAGAATAGGACTCAGAATACCACCCTGCGGTACACCAGAGACCAGGGGTTGTGGAAGGGACAGTTGACTATTCAGAGTCACTCTCTGTGACCTACCCTTTAAATACTGGGAAAGCAGTGAGAGGGAATTCTCACCGAGACCGCTGTAATGCAAGATGGAGATAAGGGTATCAATGTCGATTGAATCAAAAGCTTTGGAATAATCGATGAGGACCAAGACTGTATTAATAGATGATGAGTAGACAATATTAATGTCCGTGTTAAACGTAAAACACATCTAGAACAATTTGAATCAGCAAAGTTTGAGTTATTTTAGATTGGTCTATGTTTTTTAATTCTTATTGTGTAATATAAAACCGCTGACACAAGAATTACTGACTGAAACTTCCGAAAACTTTAATTTTCAAAGAGTAAAGTGCCCTTTAGAGAGTTGTTCTAGTGAAAATAATAGCTGTTCCAGATTGCGTTAGCTATAATAAGTATATATTTGTAATATGGAATTGATAATAGAAAAACTATGGTCACAGCAATCAACTAGACATTTCGGCGGCCAAACCTATTTTAGTTATAACTTCGTAATCCTGTATCCCATAATTTTGATTTTCTAGAACAATAACTAGAACAACCCAGAACAACAAAGAAAATTTGATTTTTCCAAAAATGGGGGCTAGCCAAAAAACCCGTTTTTTCGGTTTTCTCGCGAGGTCCTTATTTTTTCGATTTGCCGCTTTGGAACAATATAGAACAACTCTAGAACAATCTAGAACAACAATCAAAAAATGGGGTGCTAACTTCCCGCACTCGGATAAATGGCTTGTAAGATTATCGCATATTACTGCTTTGAGTCCATCGAGTTTCCGTACATACGGCAGCCGGACGTTCAGAAACTAGTCCTCAAACATTATTAAATCAAACCAGCCGCTGCTATTTCTATTATATCCGTATCCTTTGATTCCACCTTCGGTCCAGGTAGGGTAAAGATGTTTTGCCTTGAAGATAGTGTAGGGAGGTAAAATTTATTAGGAATTCTGGGTTGATACCCTGGAGTCCTAGTACCTTTCCTGGCGTGATTTCCCTTAGCGTTCTCCCAACTTCTTTAGATATGAAAGGGTTAGCATATTTAGTCTCTGTCGCCTCGTTCCACAGGTTCCTCAGTTCGCGTTTTCTTTCGGTTGAGTTGTACTTTGTCGGTTGGTATATTAGACGTTGCTGCTATGTCTGATTAACTTTATTGTTGTAATCTTTGTTTTTCGTTTCTTGTGTTCGGTTTTCCGGAGAATAACAATAGCAAACTATCGTTTAACTGTATATTTAGTCTATCTCAAGAAATTTTAAACTCAACCCCCATAATTTGCTAACAAACACGTTAGCAAATTATACGAAATATACACTTAGGGTACTTACCTTTATTGAATGAAATAAACAGGAACAAATATGACGAGATACACCAGTAACCGAACATACATGGACTATTTACATTAACACAAACGTAGTTTCCTATGATACAATTCACTTATATAGAGACTGTAAGGTTTGTTTATGAAACGTTTAATAATTATTTAATATAATATATAAAAGTATCTTATTATTTTTTGTATAATAAATTTGTTCTGAAAATTCAGTTTTTCTGACCATCACATATTTTTCAGGTCAATTGAAATATTTGGCAACATTATAGTAAAATTAAGAAGTTAATTGATTATGGTGCAATGAATAAAGGTACATTTTTCTAAATTAATTATTAAATCTTTATTAATGGAAAATTTAAGAAATACTTTACACATCTTAAAGTTGATGAAATAATTACATTTTCCAATAATTATACACAAATTACTTTTCCGAACTCGTCATATATCTATAAATACCCTAGATAAGTCGAGTCTGCAAGTTGTAAATAAGACATTTTGACCCATCACGTATCTAATAATCTATTCCTTCCCTTTCTATCGTATTCCCACGGGCGCCTATATCAACAAGTTCGTTTCGTATGACGCAAGCTAAGATTCCCTCGGCGAGAAGTTAAAATCTTCCTATTTAGGTTTGTACATTTATGTGGAATTTCGTTGCGCGGAAGAATTAGTCCAATACGCCATCTTAAACCAATACACACAAATAAACAACCTTTTAGTGCACTTAAGATGACGTCGTTATCGATTGTAATGCTACAAACTTACCTGGTTGAAAGTCATCGAATAAGCTTGACGAGCCCTTTCGTGTAGTTGCAAAAGAGGGCATTCAGATTGTGAAGCACTCGGGGGATGTTCCTTAATTTCCATTGTTGCCAAGTTAACACCAGGTCCTCGAAGTAAATCCGGAGTTTCGCTTAACACTGGCAACAAAAATAAAACCAAAAAATAAGTAGATTAAAAGAAAACTTGTTTATTGGGATATTTTACTATCTGAGCTGAAACTGCTAAATAATGACGATCCTTGAAGGTCGCTTTGAATCCTTGCTAAACGTTGACTGGGATCTTCTCCTGTCAACCAGTAAGTTTTCATTTCTCCTTTACCCTAAAAAATTATTATGAAAAAATAAATATTTGTTTTAGTTAATTTTCATACTTTTATGGGTATAATGCCTCTTTCTTCGCATTTATAACCACCTAAACTTTGTAAAAGTAGAAAAGTCGCGAAGGATATGTGTATTCGAAAAGCTTGGCCATTACTTTCCATTCGTGAGGCTGTGTTAACGGTATCACCAAATAAACAATATCTTGGCATTTTTAATCCGACAACTCCAGCAACGCATTTACCTTAAAACATATTAAAATAAGCGAATTTCTTGCTCTACAATTTCGAGTTTAAAGAAATTATGAATGAAATATTTAATTTTAATACTTTACCGGAATGAATACCAATTCTTAACTGCAACAATTCTCCTGGTTTATGCTTAATTTCAAATTTTTTGATTTTACTAAGTAAATGTAAAGCCATAGAAGCTATTTCTCCCGCATGTCTATTACCATTTCGAATGGGTAATCCACTAACTACCATATAAGCATCTCCAATAGTCTCTACCTATGATATTTTAAAATTTCAACAAGAACAGACATCATCTTAATTGCTATATGTGTATACATATATATAAACAAAGTGGAATATAATGAAACGGAGTTCATTACAAAAGATCGAGTATTTCTAATTTCTTGATATATTGTAATGGCTAAGAATAATTATAGCAGAGCAATAAGTTCAAGTAATAAAGGGTAGCCAAGTAAAGGCTATGGTTCAATTTCCATTGTGCAGTACAAATGCGGGGCTCTTCCGTTATCTTCCCCATGTCACTATGTCTGGAATATTGCATTGATCTCTAATATCTGAGTTGCTCACTCTGTCCATTCTTCTTTTTCCCACTATTGTTCTCAATGTCTTCATCTCCGCCACTCGTAACATGCCGTAAGGCATGTAACATATGTCTTAAGTATCCTAATATTGCGGATGCTTTGTTAATTTGATTCCGTAAGTCTTTCACTAAATCATGGGCGTTAGATAAGTGTGCGCCTAAACAGTTAAATTGTATGACTTGTTCAACTGACTTATCATCGATAACGAATTTACATTTAACCGGATCTTTGGCAGTAGTCATGGACTTGGTCTTATCAACGGAAATAGCCATGTTAAATTTGTAGCTTATTTGAAAGAAGTTTTCGTTGTAGGTCTTCAGTTCCTGCGATATTGCTACTTCATCTACATAACACACTATGCTCTCATGGTGCCTATCGCATATCTAATATTAAAAGATGTTACTTCCTCTTTTATTTTATCCATTTTAACTAAGAAAAGAACCAACAATATACAGAAGAACACAGACCAATAATAGGAGAGTACTATACTGACTTCCATAAAAATTCCAACACCTAGATTTAGGTTTAGATTTATTCATTGAACGATTTTATTGAAATTTTCGTCAAATATTGTTCATTAGAACAAAGAAACGATTAAAATTTGAAAACAAAAGAACAAAATGTAAAAAGTTTTTTTTCAATAATGAGTTGCTCCGCCACAATTTGTAATGCACTCATTCAGACGGCGTGGCATGCTATCAATCAAGAGATCTATAGCTGCCTGTGGTATATCAACCCAAGCTTCTTCAATCTGTAGCCGGAGATCGTGTAAGTTATCTGGAGGGTGTGGTAAATTACTCAATGGGCTACAAATCAGGTGACCGAGCAGGCCATGGGAGGACGGCAATGTTAGCTTCTTCCAAAAAACGTGTTGTAGCCCTTGCCGTATGAGGGCGCGCATTGTCCTGTTGGAAAATGGGATTTTCCAGCTCCTGAAGATATGGAAGCGCAAGAGGTTCTAGCACACTGGCAATATAACGAGTGGTGTTTAAGTTGCCATCAATGAAGACCAAGGGTGACCTGCCACCGTAACATATTGCACCCATATCATCATTCCTCGTGCGAGGGCTGTGTTGCGTTCCACAAAAAAATGTTGGATTTTTACGTTCTCCATGCATCCGTCTAACCCATCTACGACCATCGTGGACCCACAAGCGAAATCGGGACTCGCCACTAAACACAATTGGATATCATTCTTGCGCCCAATTCGTTCTTTCGTTGCTCCATTCTAGCCTGCGTAGACGGTGAAGTGATGTAAGAGGAAGGCATAAAAATGGACAATATAACGCAGCCCATAAGACCTTATCCGGCGATAAACAGATGATATTGACGTTCTGGGTCCTACACTTCTCAGCCAATCATTTAAAATCGATCGAGTTGTTGAAAATCTGTCTCTTGTGGCCAAAAGTCTTAAGCGACATTCTTCGCGATCTGTAGTCCTGCGGGGACGTCCAGATCCTTAGTTTCTCTTAGCAAAAGTCCGTCTTCTCTCATGCCAATAATACGGCCACGTTCAAAATCAGTCAATTGAGAAAAATGTTGAATGTTGATTTTGATGAAAGTCAGTATATTGTATGTATCGAAAGTCAAAAACAGATTTAGAACATAAAGTATTCATGAGGGCAGTTGAAAATGGCCAAAATAGTGTTCAATGTTTTGCAGAACTGCAAAATTAATTTCCAAACGGAAAAAGACTATGGTATAAACAAAGGGTGGAGAGTGAAGTGAACGAAATGAATGACGTTACTGAAGAAGGAACGAAATGGGGCCTAAAATAAACAGAAAAGCTATTAGAGATAGCATTATACCAGAAATTTTCCAGAAAGGAGAAGAAACCTATAATAAAATTCAATCAAATAAATTTTGCTCTTAAAGGTGAAATGTGTTTATTATTACTCTACCGGTTTCGCTCCTTTCGGAGCATCCTCAGGAGTTCGTCAATTCACATTTCACCTTTAAGTGCAAAATTTGTTTGATTGAATTACCCAGGTGAAAAGAAAATAAAAATGAATATTATTATAATAAAATTGTTAAGGAATTATTAAAAGAATGTGAGATAAATACCATTGTGTCCATATACAAAAAAGGAGGAACTACAACTTGTAAATTGCACGTCAGAATTGTAAGGAAAAAATTCCGAAACGAATTTGAAACCATTTTTATTAATAATTCTTAATAAATATTGTCAATTATAACACTAACTTGAACATAGACGATGTATTATACACCATACAGTCAGAACCGTAAAAAAATGTAAAAAAGTAGTTAAATAAAAAAATACATTTACAAAAATTAAAATATACACAGATAATTAAAACCGGTGGAGATGGACAAAATAAATAAGTTAAAAGTTATTAAAAAGTATTAAAAATACTTAGGTACAAATGGACGTGAATACAAACAGGTCGGAGGACAGACAAACAAGAAAGGTAAAGAAAGGAAAGGTAAAAATGTAAAAGCAGATGTTTAGTGAAAAAAGCGGGAAACTTTTTAAATTATTATAAATTTTTAACTGACTCTTACAGTATTATAATAATATTTTTATTCCATTTCTCTAGATTCGTCCATGAATTTTAGCAACAATTTTGATTTTTCTATTTCTGTTGTAAATTTTAAATTACACTAACTGTTAAGAATGTTTGTGAGGAATGAAACTTTTATTGTTATTTCCAAATTTTAAATTTGATGTTTGTGTTAAAAAGAATTTTAGTAGAATATTTTAACCTTATGACAGTTAACATAGATATCTGAGAGATTGCCGAATATGGAACGCATCGGTAGTTCGTCTTCCATTTGGTAAAAATTATTATCAAAGATAAAGAAATTCTGTTCCCAAATAATCTCAAATAACTGTGATGAGGCGGTAATGTTGTGACATTTCAAATTTAGTTTATAATGATTATTAATGAGAAATTGTCTAACTAAAACGATAGATTCCCTGACAGGTGCGTTGGGGTACAGATTGGTAATGTCGAATGATATAAGTGTGTTGTTGTTGCCGATTATTGGTCTAATACTTTTTTCAATTTTATGTAATTTTTCTAAACTTTTCATAGTAGGTGTTAGTGGATTCATAACAGTGGTGTTAGTTATATTAACGTTAAAGGGTTCTAGGTAATTCGTTATGAAGCTTTTTAAATTAGTGTTGTATTTTTAAGTAGGGTTGTACTTAATTCTGGAATAGTTATTTACGTAACCAGTTATGAAAAGACTAATTTTGTTTGACGAACGTAATATTTGCCAAAACAAGCGAATGAAGCGAGCAAGTTTTGCAAATTACGTAATTAATGATTTCACTACATCACTAGTTATAAAAAAGTGACGTTACATAACGTCAGAAAGACATATAAAATGTAATTTTCATAATGGAATTAGATAAATTTTATTTTCCTTAAAAAATGTAAGTGTAAAGTAAAAATAAAAAAAAGGTTAGTGTAAAAATGTATAAAGTCTTATTCGATACAAGAGCCCGACGTTTTTATCACCCAGAATTACGCCCAAATTATTTTGTTGTATTTTATATTTTAGATTTTCTGGGATATCCAAATTAATCGGTGAACGTATTTGTTCGAATTAGAATTTAGCTTATCAAGTTGTAGTTATCATAGAAAATTTGTTTAAGATTCGGGTCTAAACTTCGAAAAGATAGAAATTTTATGATGTGTGTTCAAAATGTTGGTCTGCATTAAAGGTAAAGGTGCTTAGATTAGTGAAATGGGGTGCGAAGTTAATGTTATCAATTTCGTCAACGTACACTGTAATTTGATAATCGATAAAGTCAAGGCTCTTAGCATAGAAAATATTGGGATGATTAACAGATTCATCCTTATGATTCTTAAGGTAATTCCTTTTTCTAGAATATTTACTTGCATTTGTATAGCTTTATTATAGTCGTTAACAGACATTTTGTTATTATCAAGGTCCTTAAAATTATTCTTTGAATTATTACGCTTAAGTAATTTTAACCTGTACAACTTTTTCTTCTTCAATTCCTTGTTCTTCATGGTTCTGTAGTATGATTCTTCAAGACATTTGGAGAAGAGTACACTACTAAGAACTATGTAAGAATTTAAGAATCATGTCAATTTTTGATTGTTTCTTGTAAAGTTCTCGAAGTTTCTTCCTTATTAGCCTCCTTTCTAGTTGTAGGTTATTAGTTTTAAACGGGTTGGGAACTTTAATAATACACTCAGTTTCAAAAAAAGTAACGCACTTGATTTTTGACCTAATTTTAATATCTTATATTTTTTAAACCAGTGGGCCGATTTTTATTATTTTTTTATTTTTTGGTAGCCAATTCCTTTGTCTTTCAAAAAAAAAAAAATTAAAAAGGTGGAAATTTTTTCAATGACTCGTGGATCGTAGTGGAAAAACTGGAACCATGTTTTTTTCCTAATTTTTGACTCACCCTGTGTATTAATCAAGTAATGGTATAAAAAGTGCTTACACCCTATATGAAAGACGTTTCTTTTATGAGCATTTTGTTTTTTTATTCATTAATTTATCTCTAAAATTGTCCGAATTGAAGCTTTTTTGTTGAAACGTTGCATATTGCCAACTTTCTGAATTTATGGAAAAACAGTTTTCTAGTGAAATAAACTGATACGAATTTATAAAAGTTTTATTAAACACTAAATTATAAACTGGGATAACTGCTTAATACCGTGTATTGCCTCCCCTAGCAACTCTAAGAGTTTCTAATCTAAGCGGCATACTGGAAATCAGGTTTCTTATCGTTTCCATTGGTATACGATCCCATTCTTCCACTAACGCATCTGCTATTTCTGCGAGGCATTCCTGAGGCCTCTCGCGAGAACGTACCCTTCTCCCTAATTCATCCCACAAATGTTCGATAGGGTTCATATCGGGGCTTCTCGCAGGCCACTGTAATGTGGTGATACCCGTAGCTTCTAAGAAGTTTCGCATTATTACTGAGGTGTGTGGTCGGGCATTATCCTGCATCAATATAAAATTATTGCCCACTAACTCTGCATGAGGTAAGATATACTGTTGTATAATGTCAATGTAAATTTGGGCCGTCATCGATCTCCTCGCCGGAAAAACATGACGGGGTGTCTTTCCATTCATTGACATCCCTCCCCACATCATAACCGACCCACCATTAAAACTTTCGCGTTCTGTTATTAAATTCTGATTAAACCTTTCATCAGTCCTTCTCCACACTATTTTTCTTCCATCCACCATGTTAAGGCAAAACCTTGACTCGTCCGTAAACAAGACATTCGACCATTCAGGAATATTCCATTCTCCATAATTTTGAACAAAATTTCTTCTAGCAGCACGATGTTCGGGCAATAATTTAGGACCTTTTGCAGGTCTCCTAGCTTTTAAATTAACTTCTTTTAGACGTCTACATACCGTCTGCTTACTTATTGCAACACCACGAATTTGGCGAAGATCTTGCTGAACATTTACCGCAGTGTTTGATCGATTCCGTAAAATCCGCAATCTCCGAGCAGTGTTTCCTGTTTGTTCGTACTTGCGGATTGCTCTACGAGCAGTTGCTTCATGGACTCCTACTGCACGAGCGGCGTAACGTTTACCACGCCCATCGTTTACTAAAGCAACTAATCTTGCTACTTGTTCTGGATTTATTTGAGGCATTTCATGTAATTTTAATCACTACAAAACTTTTTTGTAGTTAATTAATGACACAACGACAAATTAATTGCTATGGCAACGTCAATTGTTTGACAATGTGATCATACTTCTTAAATCTGTGGGATAAACGTAAGGTTTCAACAAAAAACCTTCAATTCGGACAATTTTAGAGATAAATTAATGAATAAAAAAACAAAATGCTCATAAAAGACGCGTCTTTCATATAGGGTGTAAGCACTTTCTATACCATTACTTGATTAATACACAGGGTGAATCAAAAATTAGGAAAAAAACATGGTTCCAGTTTTTCCACTACCATCCAGGAGTCATTGAAAAAATTTCCGCCTTTTTAATTTTTTTTGAAAGACAAAGGAATTGGCTACCATGAAATAAAAAAATAATAAAAATCGGCCCACTGGTTTAAAAAATATAAGATATTAAGATATTAAAATTAGGTCAAAAATCAAATGCGTCACTTTTTTTGGAACTGAGTGTATATGAACGAGATGTAAGGTCCTTCTCCATGGTATCATTTTTCTCTCTGTTCAATACATTTCTTGACCTGCACTCTTTTACAGTTTTACACCTTTCTTGTCAGTCTGTCCTCGGGCCTGTTTCTATTCACATCTATTCATAACCATAAAAATATAGTATCTTTGAATAACTTTGAACACCAGGACTCCCCTTTTGTACAGTGGACTTATAATACCTAAGTACATTCCATTCGCAAATTATTTCTGGTTGTGACCAAATTTATCTTATAAGGTCCTCCGAGTGTTGTACTAGCATTTTTTTGAGTCCCTCGCTTCTTTTGTTTGCGAGGGGACTGTTTTAACAATTTTCCCTCGAGTCGGTATTGATAAGGGTCAACCTTATCTCTTCTTCTTCTGGCCCTATGAAGAGTTCTTCGTAGTGGGTTTGCCCATCTGTTACATATTTCGTCTTTATTATTAAATATATTTTCATTGTTTGTTTTTACATGCCTTTATGCTGGGTATAAATTGCTATTTTCTTTTTTTTACTTGCTGGTAATATTTTCCTGTGTCAAGCTCGTTGTATAGCTCATTCATTTCCTCTAATACACCGTTATGTTGATTCTCCTTCTTCTTTCTTCCGTTTGCCTTACTTCCCTGTATTCTGCAAGTGCACTCCTAGTATTGTATTATTGTATATTTATTATATATACCCGCCAACACTCCTCATCAAACCGCTATATCGTTGGCCGTTCTGCGAAGCACATCTTCACACTGTTTCCAGTATCCTCCAGGAGCTCTTGTATGACAAATTGTGCAAATGTTTTTTTTATGTCTTGCTGTGCCAGTGCCTTTACGTTGTATCTCATTATCTTACCGTTACTTTCATTCTTCACATTAGATATTTGAGCTCTTATTTTGGCGCCCACTAAGTAGTGGTCGGAATCGATATAAGATCTCATCCATAATATCTTACGTATATTAGAACATGGTCAATTTGGTTACATTATCCGCGGAATGCCATGTGGTTTTATGGATGTTCTTATGCTGGAAATAGGCGCTTACCATTGACATCCTTAATACTGCGGTGCTTTCTATAAGACGTGTCCAGTTGTCATTGTTATGTTCGTGGAGACTACATTCCCCAGTAGTTGATCTGTAAATTTCTTTCTTGCTGATGGTTGCGTTCATATTCCCTATGATTATTTTAATATCATGCTTTGGGAAGTTGTTGTACATTGCCGTCAACTGTCAACAAGTGTTGAATAAATCGCTAATCATTATTGTAAGATTATGTATAATTAATAAGACTGTTAAACTGTTTTCATAAGTAAATATCCAGGATTTCGCGTTACATCAGTAGATAATTGAAATGATGACAATTCAAGTCTAGGACGGAAGGCATTTAATACATTTTACAAATGAAAATAAAATTAGAAAGAAAGGCGAGCGAAAGCATATATTTAATAGGTTAAGAAGAAATCAAAGAAAATTGAAAAATTAGAAGTAGTCGACTTTTTGCATTGATTAGGATTTCCTCCTATTACGGTTATAATATTTGTGTATGTACTCGTTTTGAAAATTTTTCCTACATCTAATAATAATAATTCAATAAATACCTTATAAACATCATAATGAGAAATAATTGAATCAAATAATGTATATAAATCATTGAGAAGATCAATAACTTGTAACGGAGTGCTGCTCGCTGATAATTCAGTGAAACCGACAATATCGCTAAAATAAATGGTAACCGAATCAAAACTCTCCGCTTCAACTCGATCACCTCGTTTTAATGACTCAGCTACGGACCTAAAAAATACATATAAAAAATCAGTTTATTTCATAAAATTTAAAAAAATCATCAATTTCTTTTTACTTCGGTAACATTCTGTATAATAAAGCATCAGTCTTCTTCTTTTCCTCAGTCAATTGGTTGGTCCTTTCCTGAACCAAGCCTTCTAAATTATATGCATATTTTTCCATAATAGCCAGCATATTATCAAAAATGTTCGGTTTTAAACCAGCTTGCATCTGTTTCAATAGGACACGAACAAATCGGATATCGGGACGTTGATCGGATTCTTCGTGCCAACAGGATTTTATGCATTTCGTGATGTAATCCGCAGCTCCTAAACATTCTAGATCGGGTCTAAATGGTTCCGGTTGAATTTTTTTCACTTCTTCAATAATTTCTTTAAAATAAATTTTAATTATTTAAGATGTTTAATAATTAAGATGATAATAAAATAATAAATAGGATGTTTCAATAGTGGTACGAAAAACAGGTAATGAATGTGTTACACAGAATAACTCATAGAAAATAATGCTAAAATGAGACGAAATCATGAAATCGAAAAGTGTAAACAAGCTTTATCATAAAAATCTTCATCAATCTCTATAAAACATCAAGAATAAGATACTTATCATTTTCATCTATTGAGAGTAAATTTTGTTTTATTCTGCTAATATCTCACAATATTTTGCATAATTGTACCAGCTTCTACAAAAGTTTGTAGAATTGTACTAAAGTTTAACATAACGAAAATATATTTTTCTATTGAGTAGGTAAGACATATTAGACGTGTTTTCCTTAAATTTGTTAACTTCTGGAAACATTTTGTTTAACTTTATCAGCATCATCTGAAAATATTTTCTTAATTTTGTTATTCTGTAATTCTGTTGATGGGTATGGAAAATACGTTGCTTATTTCTATGAGCGTATAGATCGGTTATGCTTAATTTTGCCACTTTCTCGAAATATTTTACATAATTTTGTTACCTTCTAGAAGTGTTATCCTTAATTCTATTAACTTCTGAAAATATATTACTTAATTTTATCAGCATTCGCATTTTTTTTTTAATTCCGTCAACGTCTAGAAATATTTTGTTTTATTTTTTCAGCTTCTGAAAATATTTATCTAAATTCCGCAGCTACTAGACCTGGTTTGTTGAATTCTGTTTGCTTCTGAAAGTGTTTTGTTCTGTCAACTATTAAATATATTTGGTTAACTCTATAACCGCCTAGAATAGCTGCTTAATTCTATGAAGTTCTGAAATTATTGTCCTTAATTTTAATTTTTGGCTCCTTTATTACTGTAATCTGTTAACAAAAATAATACGAAACTGTATTCTATCATATTCCATCGTTCTTTCTTCTTCTTCCTTTTCTAATAGGACGACGTCTTGTTTGTTCTACTTTTAGGTCTTGTACGACCCTGACCTGCAACTTTCATGCCATCTTTTAGATATTCGTAATGACTTTCTACACGTTTATCATAAAATATTAATATTTAAATGAAACAAAGTTCCTTTATGATGAAATTATTTATTGAAATAAGTTCTACAAACTTTTCGCTTTAAAGAAAAGTCTTCAGACACGACGTCAAACATTAAAGAATGAACACGTTGAAACACGACATTAAAATGAAAATAAATCACAACACTGCTGTGACTTTGTTTCATTTAAAATAAATCTCTTAGATGATCTTCCACGAGCTTGTTTGGTATTTGGTTTTTCAAACATGGTCCATTTGGCCAATCTTTCCGGATTGCCTCTTCATTGCCGTCGTCTGAATTGCATCTATCTCTCACATCCTGGACGCATTCAGTTAGATATTATCAAAAGCCTAAGAAATATCCAAGAACGTATCAGTGCATTCTGACGACCCTATGGATCTGTTCTACGATGCCATGTTCTGTTTTAAAGCCGAACTGGTAATCTGGTATTAATTTCTTTCTGGATAGAGTATCCTGCAATCTGCTGAAGAGGTGATGATTAGCGGACGATATTTTTAATTAATGATAAAAATAATGATAAAATAAAAGGCTAATTTTAACGTAATTTAATGATATTGTAGTATGCTTTAATGAATCAATTAAAAACACTTGGCGTTTTTAATATGAATTAAGTTAAGTTACAAACACTTTTATTAAATACAAAGTTATACAATGAGCTGCCGTTGACGTTACTAATAAGAGACTGTGCAACGTGTTGCCAAAAGTAAGAATCACAATATGTTTAAGTTGGCAATACTGCATTTTCCCCTCTACTAAAATAAAATCCTAAACACACTACTAATTTGAATCAACTCATCTCATAATCTTGGTAATACTACCTAGTTAGTTATCTCTACCTGGTTGGATTTCTTCTGATTTTCATGTCTTATTTCGGGGTATGATTCCGAGTTGGCTCGAGAGTCGGTTTCGTGTCTTCAATGTCTGGTTCTGGAATTCTTAATTCTTCAGTGATTATAACATTACCCATTTCAGCTGGTGTATCCTTATCTTCTGAAAATCGATGTGTCATTTGATCACCATGTTTTCGCTTTTTCGTTCCATTTATGTCAAGTACGTATGAATATGGTCCTGCTCTGTTGGTTATGTGTCCAGGAGTGACTCCGTCAGATATTGGATTATTTACCCAAACTGATTCATTTATTTCAAAGTTTTTCTCTTTGGCATTTCTTTTGTTAAATGTTTTCTGTTGTCTGAGCTGTTTCTGGTTCATTTTTCGGTGAACATCCGGTTTAAGTGGATCGATCATGGTTCTCGTATTACGGCCAAACATCAATTCAAACCGTCTAGGCGTGTTTCGAAAAGACATTAAAAACTTCTGCAGTCGGATATTTAACTCTTCATTCTTAGCAATACTTTTTATTCGTTCTATGAAAGTCCTCACCATTCTTTCTGCCAATTCATTTGTTTGTGGATGGTATGGAGTTGTCCTCACATGTTTTATTCCTTAGAGAGAGCAGAAATTCTCAAACTCTTCGGATGGGGTCCGTTGTCTGTTATAAGGATCTTAGGCAGACCAAAACGTGCAAAAATCTTGCGGAGAGTGCTGACAGTTGTCGAACTGGTAGTCTTTGTCATCTTTACTATTTACAACCATTTCGTATATGTATATAAATCCTTCGAAAGGTCCGCAAAATCAAGATGTAGTCGGAACTATGGCAGCGGTGGCGCATTCCATGAATACAGTGGCATCCCTTGATTTGCCTCTTTGCCTTGATTGCAGTTGTGCCAAGATGTCCCTCGTGCAGCATGTCCAATATTGCTTTTTGGTAGCGTTTTGTTATACATATCCTTCCCTTCTATAATATCAAATTCTTCATAAGATAACTCCTCCCGTTTTTCATAGTATGGTATCAGATCCTGTGATAATGTTTTCTTGTCTGGCCAGTAGTTTTTTATAAAAGGTATTATACGTTTTAAATTATGGAGTCTCTTGGTGATGATTGAAAATTCTCTCTAGAGGTTTATCAATAGGTCGGTCAACAATGTGAAATGTCCCCCATACAAATACTTATGAAATTTTGTCATAGACGATTGCTAATGCCTCATTGTCTATTGTAGAATATCGACTTGCCATGTTATTAAATGTCCTGGAAGCATAAGCGATTGGACGTAATGAATTATCATTCATCTTATGAGATAGCACTGCCCCTGCTCCTTTATGCGAAGCATCACTGCTTAAATATAATGACAAATGAGGGTTGTAATGGAACAACGTGGTTTTTGACGTCAAAATGATCTTCAACTTTTCCACTATGTTGATGTCTTCCTCATTCCAATTCCAATTCATATTCTTCTTCAACAGTGCGGTGTCCTAAAAATGTAATTTCATCATGTAATCACAAACATTTTGATATCTGCGTCTTTAACCCAGCTTGTTCAAGTCGATTTAAAACTTCTTTAATTCTTCTTATATGATTACCTATGTCCAGTGCTGTGATTAAGATGTCATCCAGGTAACATATTACTCCTTCAAATCCCAATAAAATTTGAGCTATTGTTCTTTGGAAAAGTGACGGCGCGAATGAAGCTCCAAATGGTAGTCTTGGTGTAGTTGACGTATCAATCTTCTCCAACACATCCTCCTTTACCAATCTATCCAGTCCTGTTGCTACTAGTTCCTGCAAAGTTATGGGTACGGGCTTTGGTCGGAAAGTTTTTGGTTCCACATTTTTTTTTATATGTATTCGTGCCATGTGACCTTTAACCATTCCAACCTTACCATCAAACAGCATTTCATGTTCCTGCAAAATTTTCTCTAAACATAAGTTGTTGGTTATGGTGTTGCTTTTAATTCTTTTTCGAGCTTATGTTTCACATCACAGATACGCCAGACACCAATCTAAACCGAAATCTAAACCATCATTTTTTCAACCACTTTTGTAAAACCTAAAGTTTTTATTTCAACATCAGTGTAAGCGATCAGATTTTGTGTAAAATTCAAATTAGGTTTACTCATTTTCTTTCATTAGTTTTTTTTTCCAATTACGGAATGTGCTGCCCCAGGATCGTATAACATTTCTTGTTGTATGTTGTTTATTTTTACTTGTAACGTGATCTCCTTTGATGTTGTTATATTGTAAATAGTGGCTGTCCGAGGATCAGATGATCGGTTGTCCGAGTCAGTCGAATTTTCATCGTCTTCCTTTGTTGTCACGCTCCTTGTGTTCGTTTCCTGTTTATTTTTGTCTTTTATTTTACCTGTTGAGATACATACTTTAGCAAAATGGCCTTGTTTTCCACAAGCTGGAATTTTTTTTTCTACAGTAGGACATGTTTCTTGTTGAATGTGTTGTACCTTTGCTTATGGTGTTGAACTCGGTATGTATGATCCACTTGTTGTCATGTTCTTCACCTATCTCTCAAGCAGGATTTTAGCACCCATGTCAATAGCAAATACTTCTGCCTGGAATACAGTACAGTACGTATCTAGGTTGTAAGCTTGCTTAATCCGAGGTGTCTGGCAGTATACTGCTCCAACCCCTTTCGTCGTTTTTGATCCATCTGTAAACATGCAAATATCTGCCTGAACCAGAGAATTTTCATTTTTGATCCAGGACTGCCGTTCACGCAGTACAATCTGGTATTGAGCATTAATCACTGATAGTAATCCTGCCAAATCTAACGGCATTGATAGGACAACGTCCGTGCTCATAATGTCTTCCGCAGCCCATTGGTAGGACATGTCTGAACAGTTTTGAGCATATTTCTCAAATCTGTAAATAGTTATTCTAGCCAGTTTCTCTATATGTAAATGCAAAGGGGATAGGACAAGCAGAACATCCATTGCTAGAGTTGGTGTTGTGATTATCGCACCAGAGATTGCCAATCCAGCTACTTATTGAATTCGTGGAAGTTTACTGATAACTGAAGTCTGTCGGACTTTCCTGTACCAGGCTGTTGTTCAATATGTAATCATACGTCTAACCACAGCCAGTACAGTCTTTCGGGGGTTCTTTCAGGGGTAAGACTCCAATTTTTTTCACAGAGACTATGACAAGTTCTTGTTGCCAAGTTTGATTATTTATTCCAATTACCAACTGATCCCTTAATCTTCCATTCAGCTCGGTTTTTATTCAACTACTTACAAACTCACAATTTCCAGCCTGTCCATGTAGTCTCATTAAGTATTGTGGTATTGTTTCATCTTCATTCCTAAAACTCATTGCGAAAATAACCCGTTCTGATGGTACGTAAACAATTTTTGATAATAATAAATTCCGGGCATCCCTTGAAGTTGTTTCAATTCCATGGATTGCCAATTCCACTTCAAATCGTTGAGAATAATAGTAGAAATCTTGTTGTTTTCTTTAAACGTATCAAAATAGAAACTTTTCTTAGGTATTTGTTTTAATAATTTTCACTGTACTTCCCATTCGCGTTTTTTTATATATAAAATGTTCAAACGTTTCCTTATTTTAAGTTTCTGTTTCGTTGTTTATCTGTGTCGCCGCGTGGCTTGTTACTGTGCGACCATGCCCTCATTATTTTTCTTTGTTCTTGATCTGCCCCTGAACCGATTTAAAAGAGCATTGAAATGTTGGGTGATCGGTGGGTGACGGAGGGCTTCTGTGTGTAGCTAGCTGTCTATGTGTGCCTTTAACTTTTATCTCTCATTCTTCTATGGGTTTTCATTATTTCCTTGCAATTGGTATTGGTATCCTTTTTTTCTTTTATTTTGTTGTTTTTTTTTCTTTTCTTTACGGTCGTTCTTTCTGTTAGGTTGAGTGAAGATCAGGGTTGACCTGAACTCCGCCTATATGTTCGGGCTTTTTTCTCAAAAACTAAATTAAATTTCTTTTATTATATTTTGTTTTATTTTTAGTATTTTTATTATTTCGTTTTTTTTTGAAAATCATTCTTGTACCGAATGAGATATATTATTTATATATTATATTACTTCACAAGATTGTAATTATAAAATTGCCCTTACAATTGCCATTGTAATTAAATTTTTAAATAAATTTGTTTTGTTTTATTAAGTTAAGGTAAAAACACTTTTGTTAAATACAAAGTTATACAATGAGCTGCCGTTGGCGGTACTAATAAGAGATTTTTCAACGTGATGCCCAGAGTAAAAACCACAATATTTTTAATTTGGCAATAGTGTAGATATCTTTTTCATAATAGAGGTCGATATGATCAATTACTTTGTCCAAGAGCCAATGTGCTGCTCTGTAGAAAGAATGTTTAGCTTATTGTCCAAAATAGCAATTTAATAAAATCACTGTACTTAGCGTAAATTATAGATTTATTCGGATATTAATCGTTAATATTAATCGACGTACCCTGTGCATTTTCCAAGCATACTTTAACAAATTTTTCATGCTTACTACTATTTTTTATTAAGTCTACAGTTCCGGCACGTTTTTCCTGAGGGATATTGGGTGTGGTGTACACACTAATTGCAAAGTCGAAAACAGCTTTTATTCGTAATGTGAGCTTCTGATGTTTTGACATGACATCAATGTTTAGCGTAGAAAAGTTATATTTTGAAGGTCTTTGTAAACTAAACACCCTCTGTAGTTGGCAGGATGATTTTGTTCTCCAGCACACTTGACATATCTAGTGTTCCTATTATAGGTGTAGAAATACAAGCGTATGCTGATGACATTGTCGTTATGCTCAAAGGAACTTGTTTGTCGAGGATATCTAAAATCCTCCAGGTGGCCCTAGAAAGCATTTGCGTTTGGTGTAAGGGGAGAATCTCTCGATAAATCCGCAAAAGACAATCGTTGTGCCCTTCACCAGGAGACGAAAGTTGGATGGATTAATCCGCCCAATGTGAAGAAATCCAAGGTGAAGAAATTCCTTTCTCAAAGGAAGTTAAATATCTAGGAGAGTAATCCCAGATAAAACCCTTTCATGGAATGGACATTTACAGGGAGTTACATACAGCTAGACTATAGTTGTGGACCTGTTGTAGTCCTTGCGGGAAAAATTGGGATGTTACCCTTGAAAGACTGTAGTGGCTCTATGTGACTGTGGTTAGGCCTATGATTACATACGGAGCAGCAGTCTGGTATAGGAAAGTTCGACAGACTTCAGCTATCAGTAAATTTTCGCGAATTCAACGAGTAGCTGGATTGGCAATCTCTGGTACGATAAGCACAACGCCAACTCTAGCAATGGATGATCTGCTTGGCCCAACTGCTTTGCATTTGTATATAGAGAAAGTGGATACCATTTACAGATTTATTCCAGGCTGAAGTATTTGCTATTGACATGGGTGCTAAAACCCTTCTTGAGAGAGGGATGAAGAACATGACAGCAGGGCTGGATTAACCAGTAGGCGCTTGAGGCGCGCGCCTCAGGGCTCTGCACCTACAGGGGCCCGGTTCTGGTTTGGTATTGCATAGGAATATAATATACATATTTGCGAATTCTCCTGTGATGGTTGGTAACATAACTAGGCAGAATACTATTAATGAAATCGTTGCATCTACCAACGCTTTGCTTTCCTTTTCATTCAGCTTGGTTACAAATGCTGAGGTCCGGGATGCTTTAACTTACTCCAAGTACACTAGTGTCGGAGCAGATGGTAATGGACTCAGATTCCTCTTACCCATTCTGGATATAGTTATTACTCCCCTAACACATATCCCAAAAATTAAATCTCCGTCTCATGTTGGTGACTTTCGACCCATTTCTATTCTGTCTACGTTGTTAAAAGCTATTGAACGTTTAGCTTATTTGCAGATTCAGAATTATCTTGAGGAGTTTAATCTGATTAACAAGTTCCAGTCTGGTTTTCGTGAAGGGCACAGCACTACTACAGCACTGATTAAGATCACCGATGATATTAAATCTGCGTATGATAACCGTTGTGTACCTTGCTAATGTTACTTGATTTTAGTAAAGCCTTTGATTCTGTGAACAATGCCCTCCTGTTAACTAGGCTTTCTGCTATTGGTTTTACCTCTTCTTGTGTATCTTGGTTCCAGTCCTACCTTTCCTATCGGTCTTTACGTGTCCGCTTGCAATCTGTACTCTCTTCTCCTGTTAACATCAAATGTGGAGTTCCTCAGGGCAGTATGCTGGGTCCTTTGCTCTTCTCAATTTTCATAAATAGTATTAGTGATGGTATCTTGTGTAATTATCATTTGTATGCAGATGACCTTCAACTTTATATTTCGTCAACTGTTAACAACCTCCCAGATACTGTGTTGCATCTTAACAACGATCTCTCTAGCGTGCTTGACTAGTCTTGTTTAATGACTGTAAAAGAACTTTAAACACACTGAGTTGTGATTAAAGAATTTTCTGATCTGGGTTCCAGGTTACTCCGAGGTTGCTAGTAATGAAGCGGCAGCTGAGCAAGCACGAGAGGGCACCGCTAAAAGGTTTGTGAAATTTGATAACGTTATCTATCAGGCTACAATAGATCCTTAATTTATGTATATTCTTTCGTGTAGACAAATGTCTGGTATAATTGATACTGTAGTAATTAACTTTTAGGGTACGATAGTTCAATAACAACGAACTTATTCAAAAGATAACTTTGTAAATGTCTTTGTTATTTGGCATGTTCATTAGTTCAACGATAAATATTTCTTTATAGCATTATCTGATGTTGGCAATGTTTGAAACTGGATGACCATGAAATTCACATGCATTTTTCAATTCATTCAGCCCTGTTGATGAATGTAAGTTCGTAATAGCAAAACGAAATTTATTAATAGCTGTTATATTTACCCAGTTTTCTTTTGAAGTATATTTTGATTGCTTATTACAAGTTTTTCAAGTTTTCCAAGTGTCTGGGATAGTTAAGTGCCCTAGAGTTGGCCTATCGATTTTATTGTTTTGTGAGGATTCGGCGTTCATAACGAGAGAATTGCTTTTCAGTCTTGTTAGAGATACTTCTGAATGAGTTTGGGCAAACTGTGCAAGGTTAATATTTTCGATATATTAAACCGACGGAAATAAAGAAAGAAATTAAACCGTTCGGAGTTGTCCCTGATCTTTAATCCGAGATTGCGTATTTATTTACACGCTCGACCTTGGCCTTATTCTTTATAGGGAGTACCAATACCGATTTTATTTATAAAAGAGATAAATCGCGATGAGAGTACTCACGTTTAAACTGGTACAAAGATGTTATTGTTTACTATCATAATCCGCACTGTTTTCTTCGCCAAATAGGTCACTTTTTATAGATGTGTAAATATAATGTAAATGTGGTGTTTGTTTAAAATAGAATTAAAATAATTATAAAGAAATTAAATATGTGTATATAATACAATATTTCAATCCGTTTAAATATGAGATTGTTTGAGTTTACATTTGACGTGCACTGTAGAGTATAATAATGCAAGCCCGCTGGGATATTAGCTTACCCTCCGTATGCAATGAGTGCTATATTGTTGTTTTGATTACTGAAGTACTCTACCCTTTGTATTCTCTCAAGTTTCATATACCTCCTTGACGGTGGTTCGAGTTCATTTATAAGCTTTGATACCGCACATAATTGTGTTTATTCAATCAAAAGCTCTTCAGTTATTAGAATAGCATCTCGGCACTGATTTGTTTGTTTTTAGTAAATTACGCTATATGTTTGAAGTGTTATTATAGTATTATTAATTGTTATAATACTCTCTAAATTCATATAAGTTTGTTTAAGTCACCACAAAGAAAAGAACTAATTATATACATAATATAAAGAAAAGTAAATAAGTGAACCTCACTGTAACATAACTTTTGAAACACCTATATTAGAAAAAAAGTGTATTTACCAGATGAAGATAAATTAATGTTCCCCCAAGGGCCATTTCGTCCGATTATTTCGTATAAAACCAATCCGAAGGAGTAAACATCACCTTTTTGGGTTCCTCTAGGATGATGATCTGGATTTCTCAATAATTCAGGTGCTTTGTATAAATTTCTACGTTCCTCTTTTAATGGCAAATCGGGGTAATCTTCACCAGCTGCATATTTTAAAATAAAATTAACATAATTATCATAGAATTTTAAAGTTTACCTTTAAATTCGTGTAAACCAAAATCGGTAATTTGTAAAACCCATCTGCTATCGATCAAACAATTACTTGAGCGAAGATTTCCATGGCTAATTATTTCACTATCGTGTAAATAAATTAATCCCTGTAAATAAAAATAATTAAAAGAACATATTGATATTAATTTTATCTTTATATATCAAATAATTTACCTTTAAAATATCTGTAACTAAAGAAGAAACGAACATATTGTCTAAATGAAGATCATCATTCAATAAAACGTCTTCAAGACTTCCTCTCGCACAATAAGTGGTTAAAATCGCAATATTTCTATGTTCTACTGAAGCCCCGATAAATGGCATTAAATTTTCGTGGGTTACTTCTCTAATCTGTTTTAATTCCTTCCTAATCGATCGGGTTAAATCAACTGATTTCTTATAAATTTTTTTAATAGCTACGATGTTTCCTTTGTACAAACCAATTTTAGTGTATGCCGTTTTTGGATTATTTTCGACAATTTCTGCTAAACTTCCAGCTTGAAAAACGCTATGTCTGCAAACTTGGATCTAAAACATTTTAATTATTTATTTATTTTTGTTATTTTTAGACTAAATAATTCGAGTTTTGAAATAAAAACACCGAAACAAGACTAATATATTTATGTGTTGTTTAGTCTTTATTAACATTAACACAATAAGACACCATCAAAGAAAAAATTGAATAAATTCTACCATGGTTCTTCCTTTCGTGGCAGATTCCGTCGTTTGAGTTGGAATTATTGTTACATCTTTCATATCAATTTTCCATAAGAGGCAAGCTAATTTCTGTTCGTATCTATAATGCCTAAAAAAAGTTAGAAATAATTTTATCCAAGCATATATAAATATTATGTGCTAAACGAAAACTTAGCGAAAAAAATTTCTATAGAGGTATTTGGTTATTTTTCTACTACTGGCGTTTGTATGAATTGAGTGGAGTTGAGATATGTACTAATTACGGGGATTTATATTGCGTTTCAAATTAGTTGTGTAAAACTTTTTAATTGCAATTTGAAATAAAGTTTGTCCACTTCTCCAATGATTATAACGCAACTTATTAGTGATTAATTAACCATCTTTTTACTTCTTAAACCATTGTTGTTTGTTTCATGTTGCGTAGAGAAATTTCTTCATCTTTTTCAGCCTTTTCTTGTCTCCGTTGAAGTTATGATTAATATAATATAGAAAACGTAAATGCTCGTCTCCAAGTTTCTCCAACTTGAGGTGTTTTTGGATGTATTCTAGTTCTTTCTGAGTTACGTTCTTTCCAGAAACAAAAATCTTGACTACATTTACAGACTTTTAATTTACTAACGATAAGATTAATGATCTCCAGATAAGAAATGTTGAGTAAGGTTAGTTTAATTCACCTGAGTGAATGCGCCAGATAAAAAATTGCTTATACAATAGTAATATATTTACTATAGATGTAAATTGCTAAATTAAGGCTTGTGATGTCAGATATCAGGGTTCAGTGCCTGCTACTGAAATATGGAAATTATATCTCAGGGAAACCAGAACTCCACAGGTTGCCACGTGAATGACCTCTTTGCCCTCGGCGATACGTAAAGCAACTTATTGACCAAGTAAATCGTGGTCCGGCGATGCCATGTCGGAGGGCAAACGAATCTTAACACATCACAGACTTATATTGACTTTGAAACGAGCAATTAAATTAAATAAGTAGTAAACAAATCCCAAGGAAATATAATTATAGATACCGAGTCAAACATAATAATGAAAGCACCAATGGTAGAGCAGTGGAGGACATTTATTTATTGATATCGGAGAGCAACAACAGGACAAACCCAATAAAGTTGCTCCACATAATTATTATATACGAAAACCTTAAAGTAATATTTAATGTGATTACAAATATGTTATTATCTTAAATTAACATTATTAAATATTTAAATTACACATGATGTGCGCAGTCTTCACAGCTTCGCGGACAGCAAACTTAATATTTCGTGGGTTACTCGAAAAAAGATCGCAACTCACCCGATCCGCGGTTCTTTCCATTCTCAGAATAGGCGAGTTACGATATGCGTTTGTTCGTGGAGTGGGCATATAAAAAAGGAAGTCGTACCGTAACTGACGAGGAGGAACATGAAAATCAATTCTCGCCATCAGCGATGGGGAATCAGTATGACCATTGACAAGCTTGTACAAAAATAAAACGTCATTATATGCTCGTCGCTGGGAGAGCGTTAGCAATCTGATAATTTCACAACTAGACGCATAGTTACTGTACACTTGTTGAGTTTTATAACATAAATATTTTATCAGTCGTTTCTGGATTCTTTCTAACCTAGTGCTATAGACGGAATATTGAGGATTCCAGATTACGCTACCAAAGTTTAAGATGCTGTTGACATATGCACTGTACATACTTATAATTGCGTTGTGGTTTGTGAAATCCTCGGAAGATCGATTTATAAAGCCCAGCATTCTGTATGATCGAGCAACCACACCATCTACATGAACATCGTAACGTAGTTTTTGATCCAGTGCTACATCAAGATCAACTGTAGATGTAACTCGACGCAACTTATCATAGTTAAAGATGTAATCATATTTTATGTAATTCTTTTTCCTGGTGAATGTGATGGTGTGACACTTAAAAAAGTTTAAGTGTAATTGATTACTTGTACAGAAATTGCAAATCCTATCAAGATCTGCCTGTAATTTAACACAATCGTCGATGCTTCGAATAGAAAAGTAAATTTTTAAGTCGTCAGCGTACATCAGGCAACGCGAATTAACAATACTATTAAAAATGTCGTTTATGTAAATTAAAAACAGTAAAGGACCGAGATGACTGCCTTGCGGCTCTCCGGATGTAGTGTGAATTAAGCGTGACTTATAGCCACCAATATATACAGACTGAGAGCGATCGGACACGTATGAACCAAACCAACGCAACAAATTGCCAGAAATACCAAAAAGTTGCAATTTACTTACCAACAGAGAGTGATCAACTTTGTCGAAGGCCTTACTGAAATCGATGTACACTGCGTCCACTTGAACATTTTCGTCCAGCGACGCAAATAGAAAATCGGTATATTCTAAAAGATTAGTTTCGACTGAACACCCGGAAAAAAAACCGTGCTGATTAGTATTAATACTTCCACGAATTTGAAAAAAGACACTGGCGTACACCAACTTCTCAAAGACCTTTCCAAGTATGGGTAATATAGATATTGGACGATAATTGACAACGAAGTGTCGATCATATAAAAATGGGTGCAACGTTGGCTCGCTTCCACGCATCCGGAAACACTCCCAGCTTAATGAATTTATTATATATCAGCTGTAAAGGAAGTGATATTGCCTGAGCAGCGTTTCTGACCAGTATAGCAGGTATACCGTCAGCACCAGGACCCTTATTCAAAGCTACTTAACGCAATGTCCCCTCCACTTCAATGACACCAAAGTCATCATGAGTATGCGCGGAGAATCAACCGTCCCCACGATGGTGCTGCGAAAACTGCACTAAAATAATTCGCAAATAACGAACAGATGGCATCGCCGCTTGATGCCTCAACCCCATCCAGAATTACAGTTGATGGGATACCCGTACCGCCTCTTCTGCGTTTGAGATATGCCCATAACTGCTTTGCGTCCAATGCAACACCATTCTGCACACGTTTAATATACGCCTTATAATCCTGATCAATCAGGTATTTAGAGCATCCGCGCAGAAGACGAAACGTTAAATAGTCCAACTGATTTCCACAACGCTTCCACTTTTTATGCGCTTTATACTTTTCCTTTATTACTTTTATTATGCTCTTAGAGAACCAAGCCGGGTAACCATTCACAGGATGGCATTTGTGTGGTACAAATTTTTTAATGGCTAAAGACAAATGATTATAGAAAATGTCCGTAGCAGAGTTGACATTTACATCTGCAAATACGGTTTCCCAATTAATATCATTAAGGTGATAATCACTGATATCATTAAAAGCAGCTCGTTTAAAGTTATAAGTAGTAGGAAGTCGTTCAGTGAGGTTGATTACAACAATGTGTCTTAATTCATTACAAAATACATTTAATGCAACATTATCATTAGGAGGAATATAGATACAACAAATATGCAGTTTGCTAATACGCTTATCGCAATAAAGTGCTTCATTGGCTGGAAACCAGTCTGACCTCTGGACACTGCGAAGACTCGCACTAACACCTATCAACAGACCACCCCCCCGAGACACACCACCCGGAACAGCACCAACACGATCTCTTCTGTAGATGTTGTAGGAAGTGGGAGGAACCTCAGCCGAATTGATACCAGGGTGGAGCCATGTCTCCGTTAGGCATAGCACATCGACGTTGGTATTTAGCGCATTATTATAAATAGTAATCAATTTGGTACGAACGCCACGGACGTTTTGATAATATACTGAGAGGCCAACCATTTTGAGCATTTGTTTTATTAATTCTTTTTAATTATTATATTAAATTAATTATTTAAAGGCGTGAGAGGTCATCAGGAGATCTTATATGGACTACCGGCGATGATTCATTCTTTCTGGCAAAAATCTTGCAATCACGTGTCCATACAAAGCGATAGTTTTTATCTTTAGCAATCCCTCTCGTTCGAGCAAACAAGGCCTTATTAGCCGGCGTCAGATGATCATTAACGAAACAGCACTCCCCCACCCCCTCAATATGCAAACCCTGTCGAGAACCAGGCACGGACATCCTTTTGTTGATTGCCGCCGCCAAAAAAGCATCGCACTTTAGGCGGCTGCAAAACCGCATCACTATGGCCCGTGGAGCTTTATTTTGCTTATCAAAGTGTGGAACACGATGAATGGCATCAACGTCTGTCGATGAGAATTGGACTCCTACATGTTTGGCAATGTTGTCTACAATAGACAACAGATTTTCATTTTCGCGTTGGGGAACACCATGAATTTCAACATTACTCCTACGGGAGTACTGCTTAACCTCATCCAGCCTCGCAGTCAAACTCGTTACCTGCTCTCGTAAGCGGGTATTTTCAGTGGTTAACTGATCAACAATTTTTATCTTTCCATTGAACGATTCAAGCAACTTTTCAAAATCACTAATCCGGTTGTTACAGAAATTTACAGAATCAAGTAAGCTATCGTATAGTATGCTTACTCCGCATTTCAGTACGCATCTCGTTAACCATATCATATACGGATTCTAATGTGACGGTTACAGGGCACACACAGAGAACTGAGACTGTCATACTCGGGAAAATTACCGAAATTTACAGAGCATCAAAAACGCGTGTACACGAGCCCAAGTACAAGTTTTGATTAACAATAAGACAAGGAAGTGAAATAATCATCAACAGCTGTTTATAGGAAGATGAGTTCAGGATCAACCTAATAAAGAACAAATTCAAGAGAGATTGGAATGTGTGGAAATTACAAATAAAGATTCATCACCTTGTCCCTTGACCATAGCAACTTTTCTACCTTCCTCATTGTCATTTAGGACTTGTTTTCACATTTTCCCTGATATCTCTTAATATCATCAACTTGATAACTTTCAATAACATGGTTGCTTAACCATCTATCAACATTATCTCGTAATCCTTATATAGAATTTGTTTATATTATCTCTCAATACTATCCTGGCCTTCATCTGTTCCTTATACTCGTCTACAGCATCCCTATACATTTTCCCTGACATATTTCAACATTTTATTTTGAGATTTTCGCTAACATCTATTAATATTAGCACGTCGATATCAAAGTAATATTTAAATACGATATATAAATAAAGTTCTGAGAAGAAGTATATCAGATACAGAGACGAAACAAA